AGGTCACCAGACTTACCGCCACTTAACTATTCTATGGGGTTACCTTAACTCAATTGTTTATAAAACTCAACCTGCGTCACTTGAGGAATTGCGAGAAAGAATTACGGAAGCATGTCGCGCTATTACCAGAACAACATTTGCCAAAGTTCGCGCAGAATTTGGAAATAGGCTGTATTATTGTTTACAGAACAACGGAACCCACTTTGAACATTTACTTTGTAATTTGACATTTTTAACAAATTTGTAGTTCAACAAAAACCTCATTAAATTTTCCATTTAAGCCAAGGTTTTACAATTATTTCTTCACCCTGTATAATTATTATTTATACCATTGGATAGCATTTTTTATAGTCTTTTTTAGACACACTGTATAGGTTTTTGTTACAGAGGTCCATACTAAGCAAAACAACTGTCGTTTGCCTGACCAGTTCAGTGTCACTAAGAGGGTACTTTTTTGATTATTTCCCTGGCCTATAATATTCGTTAATATTAAATTACAATTAATTAATACACAATAATAAATTACTTTTTTTCGAATGGTCATTCAAATTTTAAAAATATTATATATCTTCAATTTTATTCTATTATAAACCAAGGTTACTAAGTTTTTATTTAAAGTTATTGCGTAATAGTTAAATCACAAAAAAATAGTATCAATAAACAAGGAAAATACGTTATCAGCGATATATATCAACTTACGTAGAGAGTACATACAGCAAAATCAATTTGTGAGCAATAATATGAAATAATAGATAACTTATACATCTATATAATTCATAATTCATACTCATTATTGTTATTGTATTTTGTGACACTACGTTACGTAGTAATACTCTAAAATAAATAAATTCCACATTATATTCGATCTTAACTACTGCAGCGTCATGTATGATTCATTGTTTTATTAAATAATATACAAAACATGTGTTGTCATTCCGTGTACCCTGTCGTAACATATGACGAAGCTATTAATGTTACATGTATAAAAATCAGAATTGCAAATAATTTTAATTGCACAAATCAAAGTTTAATATTTGTAAATCAAAAGAATCGGAATCGATTATCTGATACGAAAAATGTCGTTATCTTAATAACAATAAAAGGACTAGAAGTTTACGATATTTCTACAGGTTCTTGATAGGATGTTCGACGAAAACGAAAACATTCACGTTTTTTTATATAATTATTTTATCCTAACACTTTTTTTGAAATTAATTTTTTTTTTGTTTCTGATATTTAAGTTTACAAATACATTTTTTTCATAATCGAAGGTCAAGACTCAATAATAATTACGAAATCATGTATCTTTTGGAAGCAATTTTGGAAAAAAAAATCTCACAAATCAGAACAAAATGTGGTTGATGTCTCAATATAAATAAATATCATATAAATTTTTAACTTAAACTAAATACATGTTAGGTAATGGTATTAGCGAACAACAATTTTTATTTGGGAACTCTCCTCTTTGGGTAGTTTTTAAAAAAACAACCGACCCTTCAATAAATAAGAAATGGCAAACTTTTATAGATCATAGGCGTTCAAATTATAGGAGATTTTCACTTTGAAATGTCCACATCCTAGACCAATTTAGATTATTCGGAATATTTTAGCTACTACAGTGGCTTTAACTCCGGAATTTCATCAAACCAAAATAAAAGCGAAGATTCTCCGAAAAATTTGTTCTAGTCCGTCTGCCCATTATCAATATTCAAGAATACTATTTGAATTAACCCTTCAGATGACGGGCGAGCCCTTCAGATATGTGCAAAAGTGTTTGCACATATCTGATTTTGCACATATTTGCACAGTATGGCAGAGGATTACAATGTTGCTACTTTGTCTTTCACACAAAATATAAGAAAGCAAAGAAACAAGGACATTACGAGGTGTATTCGAAAAATACCAGTAATTTTTAAATTTTGCGGGTTTGGAGAGTCCTATCGTCAACTTTTTTTATTATGTTGATATTAAAGCTCCTAAAGTATAAAAAAATTGAAACTATATTGATTGTTTACCTTGTCTGTGGCAGCCGCTAAGTATCGACAGTTTTTATGAGCTCGACGATTTTCACTTATTTAAAAAAATAGATCAAAGAATTTGTATTAAATTTTGCGTAAAAAATGAAATAAAGTGAAACAAAATATGAAAATGTTACCAAAGGCCTATGGTAAATATGCTATGAAAAAAAAACAAGTGTCTACAAATGGTATAAGCATTTCCAAGGTGGTCATGAAGCCGTTGAAGATAATGAACGCTCCGGACACCCCAAGAACCGATGAAAACGTAAAAAAGTGAGAGAAACGGTTATGAACTACCGCCGAATCACAATCAGAGAAGGCGTTGATGAAGTTGGCATATCAATTGGCTCATGTCATAACATGTTTTCAAACGTTTTGTGTATGAAAGGCGTGTCAGCAAAATTTGTTCCAAAATTGTTGAAGTTTGAACAAAAACAGCGACGAATTGAAGTTGCTGAGGAGTCAATAAATGACGTAAACGACGATCCAGATTCACTCAAAATGGTTATACCAGGTGACGAAACATGGGTTTATGGGCATGATGCTGAAACTAAGGTTCAATCGTCCCAGTGAAGGCATTCTGGTTCGCCAAGGCCAAAAAACACTCTCCAAGTGCGGTCGAACGTGAAGGTGATGCTCACTGTATTCTTTGATTTTAATGTATAAGTGCACCATGAATTTTTGCCAAGAGGTCAAACAGTCAATGAAGAGTACTACCTACAAGTTCAGCGCCGTTTGCGTGAAGCAATCCGAAAAAAAGACCGGATTTGGGGAAAAACAACTCATGGCTTTTGCATCACAATAATGAACCAGCTCACATTTCATTGCTTATTCGTGACTTTTTGGTCAAAAACAATACTGTAATGATGCTTCAGCCTTCATATTCGCCATACATGGCTCTCTATGACTTTTTCCTATTTCCAAAAATAAAGAAAACTTTAAAGGGCCGTCGTTTCAGAAGTATAGATGCGCATTAGACATTAAAGTGCATCACTGATAGAACTAAAAGATCACAAAGAGTATGAGAAGTGACTCAAGGTGGCAGATGCGTTGGCACAAATGCATAATATCTGGTAAAGACTAGTTTGAATCGTTGAATAGTTTTCAAGGGACGATATTAATATAGACGAATAAATAAATATTTTTTTCAAAAAAATTAAAATTTTGGGTATTTTTTGAACACACCTCATTAATTACCACCTTAAATATTTATGTAAGATATAATAATTATTGTAAATTATAAACTGAAATTATAAACTTTGGCAACATTGCCAACCCAATAATTACAGCAATAAAGATAAATAAAATAATTAGCAATAAAGACATGTGTCATAATTAAAGCCTTGGATGTTATTATAACATGAAGTGAAAACTTCCACTAATATTCAGTTGCTGTTGGCTGCAATTTGTAAGTCTGACTTTCTATTGCGTCTCTTTGTAGCCTCGATATCCCCATCAACAGCAATGTTCGCACAAATTATAATGACTGTTGGTATTTTTGATTGCATAAGTTCTCTTCCCTATAAAATTACCTCTGGACCAGATCACTTTCTCAATTTTCTTTTAAAAAAGTGCTCTTATTCTTACCATGTCATTACATACTTTATTTAATAGCTCATTACAGTTCATCTTTATTTTCTGATGTTTGAAAAGAGGGTTTTGTTGTGCCGATACTCAAATGTAGCCAGAAAGAAAACATTGAAAATTATTTAAGTACATCCATTCAGTCAGCAATTCCTAAATTTTTCAATTGTTTGATAGCTAAGCTAAAATGGTTTTTATGCAAAAAATGTACAACTATGAATTTAGTGTTGATTATTAAATTCTTCTTGTAAAATTGCTTGCTGTGGGATTTCATGTTCAGTTTTTTGAATGGGCCAAAAATTCATTGTTAGAACAATTAGTTGTTAGATTGCACTCAAAAACGAGTTAAGGTTGCTGGTAATCTTTCAGAGTCAATAATGGTCTTCAGGTGTTCCTCCAGAAGGACATATCACTAATTTTTTCAACATAATATATTGGTTAATCATTTTGCGAGCTGTTTTTTAAGTAATCAGTGTTTATTGTTTGCTGATGACTGGACATTCTGTCTTTACAAGCTGATCTGATTGTTTATACAATTGGAGTAATATGAATGATCTTCTTTTTCTTCTTCACTGGCTTTATAACTTGGGTGAGTCTTCGCCACATCCACTATCACCCTCCATCCTCTACTTTCTTGCGCTTCTATTACCCATTGATGTACCCCAAATATAGATAAATTGGCTTCAACATCATCCTTCTATATTTTTCTCAGTCAGCCGAGAGTAGGCTACACTTACATTTAAAGCTTTTTCCTCAAGAGCTTGTGTCTACTGTTCTAGTTTTTGTTCCAAAACCTTTTTACAATTTCCTACTAACCATACATTTACCACCAGGGAATGTTACCCTATAGTTTGGCTGTTATCTGATCTTTGGCAGTAATGAGAATAAAGAAGGACTCGGCACCAAGCTTTGGTGAAATCCTACTTCCACCTGAAATTTTTCAATCTCTCCTACACAATCTTTGTCTCTTGTCAATCTTTACATATTCACTGGAACTCATTTCTTTTTGAGAACCCACCATAAAATTTCTAGAGGAACTCTATTTAATAAATACCATATGAACATTATTTATTTCTTTATTCCTGTATTTTTCCATCAAGTATCAAATCATTTAGTTGATCTGCCTTGCATAAAGCTAAACTTATAGAATATTTTGGTTTCTTCACATATTTGTCTATAAATGACTCTCCATATTTTCATGGTGTGATTAAATAGTTTTATGGCCCGATTGTTTGTACATTGTAGTATGTCTTCCTTGTTTTTGTAAACAGCTACCAATATACTGCTTCTTCATTCTTCTGGCATTTAACACACTTCCATTATTATTATAATTTATTTACTATACTATAAATAATATTTTATTTTTATTAGTTTTTATTATTTTTATATAAAACTTACCTTTTTCAATAGCTTCAGTAAGTAATACTTGATCATCGGTATTCAAGAAAACCTTGAAACCAATTTTTAAATCTGACAGTTCATGCTCACTTATTTTAAGGTTGTCCTGTGGTCTGCTTATTACAACTTGTTGATCAGGTTGTAACTGTAAGCTACCATTACTACCAAACTCCTTCAAGGTAAAGTTTATGGCTTCCACCAGCTACAAATATATTATGATTACACAAGTACATAATGAAATGATAGTAATAAAAGGATTCTTCCATCCACATTTCAAAACTCAAATAGTATTATCAGAATTAATACAGATTGTAAATATTATCTATGGTTAATCAAATAAGTCTGAAACCAAACTCCTTTATACATACATAGGCTATAAGTTGACCAATGTTTTATTTCAACAAGTTTTATTTCAAGGATGAAGTAAGTAAGGCAATGCATTAATTATATACTATAAATTGAATAGTGATTAAAACAAGATATTGTCCTATTGAATTTTCATAAAATTCTATGGACACCACGTAAACCAATTCATGACATAATATTACATATATAATAAGTTACTATCACTATTTGTCAAATGAATAAAATTATTTGGATATACAACATGCAATTGAGAAAATATACACACAAAGTTTAATCAAAAATTAGCATTTGTACCAATTTTATTTTTATTAGATTTGATCACTTTACAAAACAAAGTTCTGTTAAAACATTTGTTAGGTATTTTGGACCAGAGGCAAGTTTTAAAGTGCTTAATTAAATAACACTAATTTATTCTAATCTGAGGATTCCACTGGAATCAAATCATTAGCAACATGCAACCCATCCCAGTCTCATTTATAAAATGTAGACAAGAGATGGAACTACACCAAAGGTAATATAATCTAATCTAATAAGACAACAATCTAATAAACATATATCTACACTAGAAGAAATAAAAAAAGGGTCAGAAAGGAATTTCCATACAACCAAAAATATTCTGTTTATTCTAATGTATACTCTAGGTTTTAACTGTTAACCTAAAAACAAAAAAACTTACCTCTTCTGAAGTATTCTGATTAGGTTTTTTTGTAATATCATTAATGGATAATAAATTTCCAGTATTGACTATAATTTTGTTAAGATTAGTGAAATCAATATTTTCTGCCATAGTAGTAGGTATGCACAGTTCTCAAAGTAAAAGTGAAATACAAACAAGTAATTTTAAATGTATAACCTAAAAGATTTGCCAAGATTGTTGATAAAAATCGGAACCTCTAATCTGACTGTAATAGCTGGTACACTAGTGAATAAAAGTGCTAGTCATTGATAAATTGAGATAACTTTAATGTCAATTAAAACCACAAGCCAACACTGCATTTACTTAGATAATAATAATAATATAAGAGATAAATAAATTCCCAAGGTAAAACTAGTTATATTTATTGGTTATACTAATTTACAAGAGATTTAAAAAAAACACACACACAGAACACGGAACAGAATGGAATAGCACACGGAACATGATACAAAAGAGTAATAATTATGTCTAAGGTTACTGTAGTCGGAACGAACCATAAAAAGAATATATATATATATATATATATATATATATATATATATATATATATATATATATATATATATATATATATATATATATATATATATATATATATATATGTATGTATATATTGGAACACATGAATGTACTGCTTGAAACTCAGCAATTTCTGACAAATTGGAAGATCTCGAGGCTCGTGTGCTGCTCCCAAAGAGGGAAGACAAGTTTCGACCTGTTTGCTACCTGTTTGCTTTCTGTCGTGCATAGGTAAATTATACGAGAGGCTCGTAAGAGGGCGAATAGACAAAGTGATGGAAGAGTCAGGTGGGCTTTCATCTAGGCAGTACGGTTTCAGAAAGAACAGGAGCACGGGGGATGCGCTAATGGGGTCTTCCGGGAGTTACGCGAGGTGGGGCAATCCTACTGTTGTTTGACGTCCGGAATGCTTTCAACACAGTAAAATGGAAAGAGATAATGAAGGCTCTACGAGAGAGAAGGTGTCCGAGGTACAGCTTGTAAAATTTAAGATGATACTTGGCAAATTTGTTCACTTACGTAGAAAATTAAGTGAGAACGCATTCGGAGGAAAAGAGATACATAATGCGCTCGGTCTCTTCGCCTCGTTGGTACACTCCATACTACAAGTTTATAGAGAGTGACCTTATATTTATTAATGGAACTTCTATGATATGTTTATATTGTATGTTATTTTGACGTTTCAATTTTTCCTTCGGAAATCTTTCTCAAAATACAATATATTTTGTTTTCGTTACTTGGTAAAAAAATTTACTAATAATTATATTTTATTTGACTCATTAATATTGACCATAGTCATGTTGAAGCGGCAGTTTTTTCGAACACTTCTATAAATGTCTCGTTATGTAATTTTATAAGAGGAATATTGGCAGAGATGAAAGCTTTACATTTGCGTTACAGTAAACTGTATAAGAATAAAAGAACAGTAGTTAATCTTATATCTGGAACATACCGACGAAACATTTTATAATTTTTATACTAGAGTTGTCGTAATATTTTATATTATAGTCATATACTTTTATTCTTCAGATCTTCGAAATTTTAGCATTTTAGTAAGTCATAAATATTTTAACCTGTTGTTTATTTCTTTACAATAGAATAATACCAACCCCGTTGGGATGGCTTGACTACACAAGACACTTGAGATAATTTAATTTAACTCACCACAAAAGACACGATTAAAATTAAAGTTCGTCTTCTGCCTCCAAACTACTTTTTCTAGAGAATACACACTATCAGTGTCACTATCTTCCTGCAAATGTATTATTAAATCATCTACAATTAAGTCTAGGGCTGGTTCCTTTTCCATATAATAACGCTCATAAGAAATAGCATGCTCGCAATATTTTTTCCACTCATCTTGGGAAAATTTGCAGAAAAACTCATCACAATATGTTTCAACATTTTTAAATTTAAAATCTACATTTTTATTTGCCACATGTTGGATTTAAGTCCGGGTGGTAGGGAGGTAGTCTTAAGACAGAGTGATCTGCATTGTTCATAATTTGATCTATTTCATAAGTTTTATTCCTGGTTTTGTGAATTTTTATTAGATTATATAATTCTGCTTTTATCATTTTGTCTGAAAAGGAAATGTTCTTTTGTCTTAACCATTCCTTCATTTCGTCTTTTCTACACCCCATAGTGGGACATTTTTGCACTTGGACATTGTGGTATGATGCATTGTCTATAACCAATACACTACGGGCTGGTATATTAGGAATAAGTTTTTCATGAATCCATTTTTTATAATTATTATAGTTCATTTCGCTATGATAATCTCCAGAGTTCGTACCAGATTTAAATGTCAAACATGCGTTTTTTATGAACCCCATTTGGCCGCTGGCGTGAACAATAATCAGCCTTTGCTCTTTGAACACTGGCTTGTGCAAACCTTCGGTGGTATTGTCTCCCCAGTATCTGTCATGGGTATAAGAGAAATGAATATCAGTTTCATCCATGTAAACTATGGGCCGATTTTCTTCCCTATATTGTTTAATATTTCTGGGAAAATTGCTCCGGAGTACTTGCATGTATATCGGGTTTTTCCATTAGGATTTTCCTGTTATTCTTCGCTTTCTTCCATCGAAATCCCATATCTCTCATCACTTTTCTCAAAGTTTCATGGGGCCCTGTATAAGTATTGTCTTTATTAATTTTTTTTGTTATATGTCGCAATGTAGGAACTCGTTTTCCCGTGACATAATAATTTGTTATACTCCGAAGTAAACCTTTGTCAAAATCGCCCAAGTTGCATTTTGGGGCAGATCTCATTCTTTTGTTAGGCGTAGAAAATGAGTAGAAGCACCTTCTTCTATATTTTTTATTTCACGGGAGATCCGTTTTATAGTGACTATACTTACTCCCGTTTGCTAAGGAAGCACGCTCTTGAACTTTTTTAAAATTTTTAACTTGCGGATTTTGCATCGCTTCTCTCTGCATAAAAATAATTATATTTGCTATTACCTCCCTCGTTTGTCCAGACAAGACTTTGAATTCTAATTTTGAATGAAAATCCATGTTTATATTTAAAATACTTAACAATAATTATTTAAAAATCAAATATATTGTAAGACGAAATGTTTTTCTTGGTTTAATTTTTTCTAGCTTTCCTGATATATCTGTTTCTGTACCTCTGGATCCGTTATTTGAGGAGGGATTTCATCATACACCAGTCAATTTTGACGTAATTGTTGATATAAAAGAATCTGTCCTTAATTTTGAAGAATACTATTTTGACTTTAAAAATGGTGATTATGTTGCTTTAAATTATTATTTAGCAGAAGTTGACTGGAATTTATTATTTCTTAACAAAAGCATTAATGACGTAGTTAAAGATTTTTTTGATATTTTATTTTATTTAATCGAATTGTTTATACCATTAAAAAAATTTAAAACATCTACATATCCCAAATGGTTTACATCAGAGTTAAAACATTTACTTTATGAGAAGAAAAAAGCACATAAAAAATTTAAAATGACTGGTGGTGATGAGAACTATTGTCTTTTTTCCGATCTCAGGGAACAATGTAAAGAGCTTAGCAAGTATTTACAAAGGCGTCATGTGAATGAAATTGAGGCTAGCATTTTTCATAATTCTAGTTCTTTCTGGAAATATATTAATAATAAACGCAAATCTCATGTTCTACCATCGAGCATGAGTTATGGTAATGAAAGTAGTGAAAATGGTTTAGATATTGTGAATTTATTTGCTGGGTTCTTTTCGACTGTCTATAATAAAGAAAAAATAAATCAGATTCCTAATTTTAAGTACGAAAATTATGTTAATGCTAATAATTATTTAATTAATGTTAAGGATATTATTGATAAGATACAGAATAATCCGTGGAAACTGACAGCGGGTCCAGATGGTATACCAATGTATTTTATTAAAAAATGTGTATTCACTCTTGCTAAACCTATTCAGTTATTATTCAATAAGTCATTAACTTCTTCTACATTTCCTGATTTTTGGAAAGTGAGTTTTTTAAAACCCATTTTTAAATCTGGTCAAAATAATAATGTTGAAAATTACAGGGCTGTTTGTTTGCAGTCTGAACTACCAAAGTTGCTTGATTTTTTTGTTAACCATATGTTAACCTACGATTGTAAAAATTTAATTCTCGGTCAACAACATGGTTTCTATCAAAAGAAATCTACTTGTACAAATCTTATTTTGTATTCAAACTTCATTGTTGATTCTATGGAATCGGGAAACCAAGTTGACTGCATATATGCTGATTTTGCCAAAGCATTTGACAGGGTAAATCACGAAATATTAATTGCTAAACTTCGTGGATACGGAATTGGAGATAATTTATTGGGTTGGATCACGAGTTATTTAACAGATCGTTCACAAATAGTAAAATATGGTAATTTTGTTTCAGAAGCGATTAATGTTACTTCGGGTGTACCTCAAGGTTCTCACTTAGGCCCACTTCTATTTAATCTGTTTGTGAATGATATATCATCAGTAATTAATAATAGTGAATTTCTATTGTTTGCTGATGACATAAAGATCTTTAAAGCAATTAAAAATACCTCTGATATGGATGCTCTTCAGTCTGACTTAAATAATTTATCTCGTTGGTGTGACATTAATGCCTTATATTTAAATATAAAAAAGTGCTATAAAATTACGTTTTCCAGAAATACTAAACATCAGTTATATAGAACATACATACTTAAGGGAGTATCGATTATGGAAGTAAATCAAATTAGAGACCTTGGAATTACATTTGACCAAAGACTAATGTTTGATAGGCATATTAATAATATTATACATCGCGGGCTTATAGAATGCTCGGCTTTGTTCAAAGGAACTCCCGAGAATTTTCAATATTTACTTTCAAAATTTTGTATTGTTCTCTAGTTCGGTCCATTTTGGAATATTGTAATATTATTTGGTATCCATATTATAATATGTATATTGATCAGTTGGAACGAGTTCAAAATAAATTCCTAAGAATTTGCAGGTATAAAATGGGTTTTAATAGAACTAACTGTGATTATAACTATATTCTTTATCAACTTAATATGAAAACTTTAGAAAATAGAGAATCTGAGTGTGAATTGCGTTTTTTTGCATAAAATTCTTAATGGTTATGTTGATTGTCCGGAACTGCTGGAATTAATTGTTTTTAATGTAAATTCTAGAAGAACACGCTCTCCTGACCTGTTTAGACTAAAGTTTCATCACACTAAT